GAATAGACGGGTGTGGTGAAAGTTGAATCGTTACCTGCGCCTAAGTCGCGATGGAAGTAAAAAAAGCATTATGTAGCCGAAGTAATGGAGAGAAGTAAACTACTCCTAATGCACGACAATCGCAAGAACCACAACGGCGAAAACTATAGTTGGATGCTTTTCGTTATCCACCATACTCGCCAAACATTGTTTCCACAAATTATATATTGTTTTAAATCTCGACAACTTCTCAAGGAAAGAATTACTCTAGACTTCAAATGTACAAACTACCTTTCGAAACTTCATGGACTCTCATACCCATAACTTTTACAGTAGCAATAACTTTTATTGCAAGAAGAGAAAAGTATATATATACTTAGGACTGCTGCTTCAAAAACTAGACATACTACATTTTAAAATAGCTAAAATAAGCAATTTCGCAGACATACGTGGTTGCCGATACAAAATACAAATCTCAAAGATATTACCGACATCTCTATCACCTGAGTAATATAAACGTCCAATCAATCGAAAGCCTTAGCCCATTACTGGTAAGAACCTATAGCATCATGAAGTAGATCTTACGCAAAAATCTTGAAGAAAGGAATCTATGGTGATTATAACTAACGCCACAAATAAATAGCTCGAAGTCTTTTCAGTAAAGTGCGCCACTATTTCAGTAACTCTTAGCGCGTTGGCACATGCATTTGCACATTTCATTTACCTTAAAATATTTGTATCCCACAACGCTTTGGAATACATCAGTGCCCAACTTAATTATTCTTAGGAGAGATAACAATCTTTTAAAGATCCTCTGCGTTCGGCCAGTAATGGTGGCCGAAGGGCACAATGAGTTTAAAATAATAGCCGAGCTTTTAAAAAGAATGAGATGCTTATCAATCAGAAAAGCGAATAGACCACTGGAAGACGTAGTATTAGGGCAATTTATGAAAGACCGACTGATGAGCATCAGTGTCAAGAAAAAATGAAGAACTTTGACAGATGAAACCTGACTTGCATTACAAAAGATTCTACAATTCAGGATCGACAATGAGGAAAATCTATCGATCCTCGAAATATTTTGGCCGCATGAGTGTCCTGTTACCCAGGTACGTGACTTTGTAGGAAATTTAAGTTAAGACATATCCTAATAGCATACCCAAATAATGTTAACTTTAACCTAAGAAGGAATAAAATAAGAAACACATACTAATGAACATAATGCATTAATATGATACTTAAACAATTCTCAAAAACAAATAAGAGGATTCCTGTCGTGAAATTCGAGTCAACTTCTAAAGGGCCTAAGAGAAGGGTCCTTTAGATAAGGTAATTTAATACGGGGAAAATTAAAATATATATAAATATGTTAATATATATATATATAATATAAATAGTATAAATATATATGTTCTAAATCATTGAATAATACTAGGTTTAATACTAGGTACTAACTTAACTGTTAGTTTAAGCGTGCTTACCAAAGTAACGTAGGATTTTTCTGCTTTATATCACCTTAAAAAAATGTCGTCTTACTACCCACATCAATTCCACATAGAAATCTGGCATTGTGGTTGCTTATTGTTCGGTTTGGAGTAAATCTCGAACAATAATGCCAAGTCATGTTTCCTCACACACTTAGCTTGGGATGAAAGCTACTAATCTTTACTAAAATTCCATAGGTTCACGATATCTGACAATAGCCGAGTATTCGCAACCTATTTAACCAGACAATTGATGAGTTGTTTAGTACTCAAGAAGTTCATATCAACTTCAGATGGCCGATTGAAGTGAAGTACATCCTCTAAGTCCAGGATGCCATTTTGAACTTACAAATCTGCCCCTAAACAGTCCTCTTAACCATGGGGTCCTCGCTGTCTGAGGCAAAAATATTTAAAGTTACGTCAACTAGCGTTTCACTCATTGAAATAAATACAAAAACGTCTCTTTGAAACTTAAATTTGAAAATTCCGTTCGTCAAACATATAAATTACAGCTTATGCAGGAAAGAATGACCGGTTCCGACAAGTATATTCATTTGTGTCAGATAATTCTAAGATCAGCTCTTGAAAAGTATAAAGAAGTAAATAAATAAAGGAAAGACGCAAGGGACAAAGACACCCGCCTGACAGAGATCTGAATTGTAGTGATGACTGACGCAATAGCAAAACTGGTAACATATATCAGTTTTATAAAAGTCGCGTGTTTAAATTGAAGCATTTATGCAACCATATTTTTACAAAGATTTTTCTAACAAAAGAAAATCTTCAGTAAAAAGTTGTGTGGAGTATATCAACGACGCTGAGGGATATATATTTTAAGGTTGTGTTACTACGAGGTCAGGCATATGCATCCCGCGACTCCTATATACATGTCATGAAAAGAATCAGAAGTTGTGAAGCAATTCAGGTCAAGAAACGGCTAAGAAAAATTTTTATTCATCACATAAAAATTATGTGGCCTCATTTAAGAGACCCAAATTTCAATGGCAAGGATGGCCGTTTGAACGTACTGCTTTGACATTACGATTTGGATCTATGGGAAATACATTGCCAAAATTAATCATATATTGGGATCTGGCAATTGAATCTTATTTCGACATGATTGTCTTTCGGATTAACATAACATAGAAATAACGGCTCACACGATGTGACGACTATAACTGCACAGTCAGGTCTAATACAAGTTCCTCGTAAAAATAAATTAATAATTTAAAAAAAGAAAAGGAAACATTAGCTTTAAAAATATCTATCTCATAATGTATCTTGTAGCTTTAAAATGCTATAAATTACAGTAAGCCATAAATTCGCCAATATATAGGGGTTCCATGGTTCATGACATCTCGCAGTGCTGATGATATACAGATCGGTTTCGTGTAGTGTTACATTGTTATTGGGGGGCTGGCTAATGCAATGCAATTATTGTATAAACATTGCAACATAAATAAAAAAAAAGCTTTTTATTTCTAAAATTTAAGGGCTTGTTACTGCCGTCGAACTAATCCCAACATACACGTATTCTAGCGCTCACAATGGAAATTTACATTTCCACGATCATGTAGCCCCTAAACAAGAACAGCCATGCTTGCAGTAACCGATATCTACGAAAAAAGAATACAATACCAATGAGTTCTACGCATATCTTGCGAAAGACATACAATACTAGTTAAAACAAAAAAACAGATTGCTTAAAATGCATATTCATGGATTATTCAGCATAATGGGGAACATTTTCTGAATTGGTACTTTCTAACTAGTATATATTTGCAATTTCGAAGTGAGCCCACGGCTAATCAACTGATTATATGCCTAACTCTTTGAAAATTGTCTTGGTGCTATATCCCAGAAACTTTTAAGCTAAACAAATCGAATAATTTTATTCAAACCTCCCTATGTCAAACAACTTTAGAAAAAAAACCATATGAGAGAATTTATTTTGGTGTCTATCGACTTCGGGCATTATGTGTTGTAGTTAACTGATCTTAAGGCTGATCAGAACCACCCGGCAAATCTTACAAATAGCACTACGATTTACGAGAGGCATTTCTGCATTATTTGTATATACTTTACTGAAGTCGAATGTTTTAGTTTCGCCGACAGCAGACATGAATCAGTGCTCTTCAGCTATTTTCTCTGCGCTAATATCCGTATCATTTCATTCCATATCAATGTTAAAACAAGTGCATTTATCTTTATTTAATTGATGGCTAAAACGGCTTTTTATTGTAGGAATTTTATTCTGATATTTTTTCAATTTAGAAGGCCACAGGTAGCTCCGTCTACGAGATATAATAACCCTACCACTGTGTTTTAGTTGCTGTTGTTCAATGCCGACAATAATTTATGATAGAGGGCTTTTCTGTCGATACAAAAAACGGAATCTGAAGTTGAATAACTGTGAAATTTCTTTTCACCGGAAAGCCCCTGATAGCTTTCTGGCTAAACGACTGGACGTCTTCAGTCGAACTATCGCAACGCGTAATAATTTCGCACGTAGCAGATTGCTCTGAAAAGTTTCTCGACTAAACATGCATTGTAATAGAATTGTAAACAGAGAACAACAATTCGTAAAGAGCAGAAGTATCTAACTTTGTTCTAACTAAAGGCACAAGCTATCCAGAACTGTATGGACTGTGTTTCAAATAACAAAATTTATTGTAGAAGCTCTGTCGTCTTAGGCCTATTTTCCTTCAAAAGTACTTCATAAAGACAGAAAAGTCAATTAAGATGAACTGTTGAGAAAGCCATTTCACAGTTTAGTGAATAATGTTCGAGTAACTTCAGCTATAGAGTCCTCGATTTTGTTTCGGCAGCCTCTCAACTTTAGGCGAAGTACACCATCGGGTCAAGGATTCAAGGTAAAATTCTGAAATCTGAACGATAAAACAACATGCTGATAAAGTAAAAAAAGGGCTGCGCAACCGCACATACTACTTAACTATCAACGAACAAAAATTTAAGAAGGGAAAGAAGGTGAAAAACGACACCAAATAACTTATTGATCGAGGCAATATATTTATACGAAGTGAATTCACAAAAAAAAAAAGAAAAAAGGTAATTCTGAGATGTGTTTTTATAAGCCTATTCTACTCAATGTCCCTTGCAATTTAGCAAGAGATTTTTGAAATTGGGTTAGAGAAGCGACGAGTAAACCTGATAAAAATTTTTGACCAACCTCATCATACAGCAAACGAGTTGACATGATGGCTAAGTCGGTAAGAAGTAGCAACTAGCGTTGCATTTTCGAGGAAAAGGATGCAGCAATTTAATGGTTCATCAACAAGGAGGTTAACGACTCAGTTCATTAAGTGATGTTGATATTGATCTTCGCCGATGGTAAAACGACGAACAGTCCAAATTAAAGCTTAAATGTCTGAATTTCTATTAACTTCCTAATGGCTGGTCTACTGTTTAGCCTTTAGTCCCCACAGATTGTAGCATTATCTATTTTCTTTCTAAAAAAAGATGAAAAATTATAAATTTCCTTTTAAGTCGGTGAATTAGCTCAATAATTTAGCTTACATGGTGCTAGGCCCATAGGTATGAGCTCTTCTTTATAGGTTCTTTCAGAAGTGTCTACTGTAAGTCCAAGGGCAACGTGTCTTTCGGCATTTCCATTATCTTCGCCCATATTGAGTTCGGTTCGAACTGGAATATCCTGTAATGCAAAAATTGCAGTTCATAATTTAAGGCAGGTTGCAAAAATTAAATAACTTAAATAGTTATTTAGGAACACTTAAGTAGGAATTCCAGTACATTATATTGCAATGGGTAAGAAGACGGCCCATAAGGTGGGTTGAAAATACTAATGTCGACGCTAAAGGCAATCAGTGGATCTTCCTAAGTGAATATCCTAAGCTAATCAAGCAGCTAAAATTGTGGTCTACTTGCTCTATAAATTTAGTTGCTGGTAGTATTAAAGACATTGTTTCTATAATTTCTCTTTGGGTTTTTTTTTGTGGGTTACACGAATAAGAATCACAAAGTAAATAGAAATGTATAACAAAGTTAGAAACCTGCAAAATTTAAAAAAATACTAAAAATAATCACAATCTTGAGTCTATTCAAAGCATTGCAGTATAATAAACGAATAATCGTTAGTTGCACCTTGACAGTATTAGGGTATGTGATTTGGTACAGTGACAAAGTGGACTGTAAACCTGGTTCTCTCTTGTTGGACAGCCACCAGATATCATAGTGGTTATAGTCATAACTTTTAACTTCATCATTCTCTAATTCATGAAGCTCAGCACAGTAACAGTATGAGCACCATCGTCATCACGCTTTGCTTCACGACAAATAATGCTTTACGGGCCCTCTTCCTTATACATCACTTTTTTATAAAATTAAATAAATCAAACGAAATCTGATTAGAAGAGGCTACGGCTTTAACGCTGTAAACAAGTGTAAATCTAGACATATACCTTCAAGCATTCGAATTACGCTTTAAGGCGTAGCACCTTTTTTTTGAGTGTACAAATATCACTATTTTCCTAATTCTCTACATTTCTATGAAATCAGATTAGTCCTTATATTTAAGGTGCATGCTCGATTTCTTGGCGTTTTATTACGGCCACTTTTTTTTCTTTAACGTATTTTAGCTTTATAAATAAGCTAAAACGCAGTGAAATTGGAAAAAGTGAAAAATCTAAAATGCATGCAAAAATTCGCGATCGGTAGTGAAAAGTAACTGCATACACTACCATGATCAAAACCCGACAATTAATTTTTCGCTGATGTCAACGTTTTTTAACAAACATGTTTTCATAGTTGCTCCCGCTTTGGTCCGTTAACGCTAATGATTAACTGATGTCATTAACGCCTTCTGGAGTAAAATTCAACCGATGTCTCTCTGAAGTCTACTATACCTTTCAAAAACCAGCCTCTACTTTTCGCGTGGCCCTGCATAATATCGCGCTTTGCCTTATGTAATACTAAAAATTTATGCAAGTACATTACTCGGTCATTTCAGATTCCAGAAATGTTTCCATCTAAAAAGAATCCAATCCAGAAAGCGGTATTTTTACCACTTGTTGTCCAGAGTTAACTGACTGCGCCATTCAATAAAATATGGTCGGTAAGCAAAATATAAGTAGCACCTTAAACCTAAAAAAAGAAAAAATATTTGACGTAAACATAACTAAAACAATATTATTTTAATGCACAGCCAGGCTACCATGTAAATCCGTAACGATTTTCCCCTATCCTCAGAGAAATAAACTAGCTTCCCGGCCCATTCAGCAAATGGTATCTTCCCTTTGTTCTGGATCACTATTGTCCTCCGTCTTAGATGTTTGTCTCCGCAGAAACGGTGCTAACACTCGAAATGCTATATCTTAACTTTCAACACTTGTTTTTGTGATTAGTTCTAAGTCCATTAGTTTAGCAACAAAACATCATCAGTTTTGGAACTTCTCGATCAAAACAACGAAAGCCATGGAAGTTTAAAGCAATTAATATATTCATTTAAGCAGAATATTTGTAACAAAACTGGGTGCTTAGAAAAGAAAAAACTAGCATGTATCCCAGCACAGGGACTACAATTATTCTATTTGAAATTTTGAATCAAGTTTCTCAATATAATATAAATGCAGCCCGTGCTTGGACCTCATTATCGGTGTATACGAAACACGGAGAATTATTATCCTAGAATTGTTCAACACTAGGCGTATTGGTAAACTGAAGCGACGAAAATTAAAGTAATTAAAAGATCCTAGTTTTCTTTTAATTGGTACCATGTGTCGCAGACCTTGAAATTGGCAGGAAAAGCTATCTGCCAATTGCAGCGCCCAGTCGAAATAAGTTATGCAAGATGCATGCTGAACACTAACAGAAAAATCGTTGCTATAAGTATTCTTTGCAAGGCGATCATCCCTACATTATAACTGCTTGTAATAGACATTAGGAGTGCAAACTTGGATCAGCTCTCACTTAGTCTCATTCTCACTACAACCGCGTGTACGCCGTTTTCAATTATGACCATTAAACCATCCGGTCACTAGATATGTGCAATGAAAACTAAAACCTAAAAACAGAAAGGCAGTAAGATAACAGGTGTTTTGATACGGAACCCATCTATCATCTTAGCTTTCCTTTGTATATTACGCGTCACATGGATTAACTGGTATCGTACTCCCAAGTTCTTAATACAAATGGCAGCCAAATTTATCTACTTCGGCAACTTTATCCATGATATTAGTGTTTAATCGGCTAAATAATCTGTGTTATGTTCTGGGACCATATTTCCTCTTGACTCTGCCTCCATGCAACAATTTATGCAGTATATCTGAATACCCGGTTCAAAAGCTCGATAGAATTAAATGATAAACGGAATTCCAATATGTATCAGTAATAAGCCTCTTGTATAGTTACTGTAGATGGATGCTCTTTGTCGGCGGTTTGATCTTTCGAGTGCGAAATCCTGTCAACTGAGTAATGGGTATTTTAAATTAAAAAAAAGCGCTCAAGATGTAAGCACATTTGAGTAAACATTATTTGAGTCGATTTCGAACTACCGGGTACTTACATCTTATGATTGTCATTAGAGCTTTGAGCCAACGTCAGTATAAAATGGTTATCTGGTCAAGAGCAATTTAAAAGACAACAACAAAAAAAAATCGGCGTATTTACATAAATCTATCTTTGTTAGAAGCACTATATTTGTTTTTTTTTTTGAATATAATGTCAATAATGCAGGCCCTCCTGGCCTTTTTCATGGGAATTATTCGCTTCACCGAGTTTTTGGTCACACTTTCACAAACATCTGACTTTATCTCTAAAAGGGCGACGTGGATATTTTTTTAATTGTCATAGTACTACTTGCTTTAAAATACTTTCGTAAAAAAAAGTCAAGCGGAGTTATGTAACATGATTTGAGAGCCATTCGACATCGCCCTGCCTGGAGATCAGCAGCTCACCAAAATAAATTTTTAATCACGCAATTACGCTCTTACATGGGGGTGGATCACGCTGATGCCACGAGTCTCGCAAACCTTCTGCAATAATTTGGAGCACAGGAAAGCCTTGGGTCATCTCCGTGTACAATCAGAGTTTACAGCTGCGTCAAAAAAAAGGCCAGTGATGCTTTTGGCTCATATGCTGCACTACACGGTAATTTTTATACCCCTATAAATTATATTTATGAACCTCTTTTATAGATAGTCCGGTGATTTTCAGTCAACTTTGAGACTTGTAGTTTATAAACAAGACCGTATATGTATATGAAAAAGCGGCTAGCAACTGGGTGAAGGAAGTAACTGCCATAAAGATAGCAAAGGAAGTCTAGTTCATTAATGTTTTGTTTACGTATAATTTTAAATTTATAGAATTTTTAATAAAGAAAGACTAAGGTAAATATATTCAGATATTTTGTTGGCGAAACAATCGAACTGTATTTCTAAGCCTTTTCGATGCTCCGTTGGGTTTCGTTGTTCGCAGTGCACTGATACTTTAAAAGCCCATCCTTATGCACCTGCTTCATCTCGTTTAAACATTTTCCTTGGCATTGTTGTTACTGCATTTCTGTAACGTAAACTGGATACACCAGCAGGCTTTCAAAAAACCCAAAAATACCAAAAACTTGCTGCACGTTCATAATGTCTTAAGAAAAGTACCTATCAACAGTTTAGTATGTCTCTGCCTCTAATTGGGACAATCTGTCAGCGTCAACCTTAAGATATCATCTCCTCTTTTTCCTAAACGAAGGCTGCATTTTTTTTAAATTTTTTAAATTTTTATTTATCCATTCTTTTAATTTAAGTTATTCTGTTCTTTCATCTTAGATATCTCTTTTATTCTAGAAAAAGAGTAGCTACTAAAATCGTCAAAAACAAATGAAATACTCCTCGTACTCGTCGAGTTTCATTTGTTTTTTAGTGTGCAGTGATTCACCTCTATACCTCAGGCAAATGCTTTTTCATTTCAGTACTAGACATCTCACTTTCGTTTCTTTCCTCATCAGTCAGGTTTCGATCACGTACATGTTTATGGATTTCGGTTCAGAATACTGCGGATAGTTTAACATTCAACCTGCCAACACTTTTTGTATACCTATTTCTACCATATTGTTAGATTAAAAAATAAATGAGGTACCTTATTAATATTCTTATTTGAAGAAACTGTTTGTGGCTCCTTTTGACTGCTGGGTTGAAGTTTCTGAGTGATCGAATCGAAGGGACCTTGGATATCCGCACTTGATAGTTGTTTAGTTCCTGTGTTGAAGTAAATCAACAAATTAATACTTAATCTAACACCTAAAACAATACAAACCCTAGATTAAAAGTTCGGTAAGTTGACGACAAAATAATTCTCCTATAAATAGTTGTACATTAGAACCACATATGTGTTCTTCTTATATTTATACTTCACAAGTAATCATGAAGAATATTGATTTAAAAAAAGTAGAAATGCAAAATTGCCTGCAAAGTTAATCTTACCTTTTGAAAATTGATTTCTCATGGCTGCTCCGCCAGGCGTGCCTTGAGCAGCATGTTCTCCAGTAGATGCCGGGTCTGCTCCTATAACTACACGACCCGGTCCATTAGATGCAAGAAGACCTGCTTTAGTTGTCGTGCTAACTTTAGACTGTATGGAAACATGGACCGACCTCGCCACAACTGGGAGCAATGTGGAGGAAGATGATGGATCTTGATTAGTTGATAAAGAAAGCCCGGCCACTGCAACGAGCGCAACTAGAGTGGCAGTAATCAGCATTTCACTGGTGGGCGACTTCACCATCTGTCTAACAAACAACAGCAGGTACGCCACCTGTCAGCTCTTAAGATTCACTTAAAACAGCCACGACCTGTTCGAGCAAAATAAGAGCTCGGAACAGATCTTAAAATGCATCACTGGAGTATATAGGTTTAGGTTATGGATTAGAAATATTTTTGTTGGTCTACCTGTAGTGCCTCAGAACTTCCAACTTTGGAGTATCTTTGGTCACTACTGCGTAAACTGTAAAAGTCGCACTCGAACTCGTAGTTGTACAATCTAGTATAGAATGATATTAAATTTGGTTGGTGTTGTTACCCTACGTAACCCTCTGGACTATGCGGATGTCTTGCACTAACAACAAGCCTAAGCACTTAGTGGCATATCTACCTGCAACGGTAAAAGGTACATCACACTTTAATGACATAATAAAACAATTCTTCAATACTGAAACCCACAACAGCTTAGAATTTAAAATACGTTCCAGAATATTTAGTGATTACATATCTAATAAATATAGAACAATATTTATTACTGATGGTAATCTGTAGCTGTGTAAACATATCGTACACCGTAATACTCTAAGTATTAGCCACATAGTTTTAAAATACTCTTAGAACTTTTCTTGAAGAACTTGAAGAAAAGTATAACTTTCCACACATAAGAAAGCCAATATATAGGAGATGCACGCGAAACTGTACAAGTAGTTATGAGAGTCACACTAAGACAACCGCGTAGTCCACTCTTATGTACACTCAACTGCCCTTGGATCGCGGGCTCATCAAAATGAAACAAGAAAAAAGAAACCAAGAACTCATGTAATGTAAATTGATTAAATTCGTATTTAACATTATTGCTGTCCTGCATTTTAAAATTACCACGTATCATCAGATGCGGCTGTTTTGAACTATAAGCTGCTATAAAGGTTGTCACAGTCGAGCAAAGCTGTAGAAGGCTAAGCATTGAAATCACCAAAAATCCACCCCCTCTGTAATTTGATCAATCATAACGCACAGCTCACATTAGGAAAAATTCAGCCGCCAACAACTGTCGTTTTTTAACTAAGTATTGTCAGTTTCTACCGTAATACACCGATACAGCGAACGGCAACAGAGGCAACCCATAATCTTCCAGGAGAATTAACATACGCAATGTTATTGTTGTTAAATAAGCAGACGACTATAGAGTGGTATTCTGCTTCTTGTTTTACAAATGAGGTTTGTGTGAAATTCGTCTACAGGAGACAGTTTTAGACTGATCCGAAATGGTCAAGATACACCAAACAAACAAGACGTTATCTGAGAAGTTTTTGAGACTATGCCAGACGGTGTGCCGGTGTTGACTGAAACGGTACGAGGCCGGTATCATACGTCATTTGTGCGTAAGTGGCAAGTTCGTATTTGGGTACCCATACTGATTTACAGAGGTGTTTCCCACAAGAAGGTATTTTCGGTTCTATCTCGTTGGGCACATGCATATTAATGTAGTATTAAGAAAGCATCTTCGTAAAGGATTATTATCATTATTATAGTTTACAAGAAGAAGAGAATGAGATAGATCTGGGAGACATGTTAAGGTCGCGTGGTGACGAGGCTGGGTTCGCACACCGTCGTAGTATCTTAAGAAATTTTGGGGCTCGTTTTATAAGATAATCCAGGCCAAGAAGCGGCTAAAAGACGCTGACGGTTATTTCAAAGGTCTGTTACATACAGAAAAGATGAACATCAGAACTTCTAGGTCTATAATGTCAAGAGAAACAAATACACTGTAAGGTGATCGCCCGAAACAAATTTTAAAGCATAGCTGTGGATAGCACCAATTAGTCGAGAGTCAAAAAGATATCATAGACTAAAATATTCAAATTTGAACTTTTAATAAAAGTTCAAATTTGAATTACACTTAATAAGTGTAATTAGTTCCAGTTTAACCCAAATTCAACATACCAATTAGCACCCACATTTTTAAACGTTGTTATACCACAGCTGATCTGCTAAAGGCTGACAGGGCGCTAAACCAATTTTTAACCTATATTTTTATAATCAATCTACTAATTTACCTTCGTTAAAATTTATTCAATCACAGATGTTGTAAAATATATATCGTCTGAATCCTGTGTTTGCTGGCTCCCTCTTACGAAATCATTTAGGTTTTAAATCCGTCAAATGTAACTTAATACATGTCCATAACTATGCCTCACGTAATTCTTTGCTCCCACAGTAATCTTCATATCTTTAGATATATGTGGCGTACTTCCACAACACACGACGTCACTGATTCAGTAAATTCGGCAGTTAACAGTTTCGTTAACCGTTGACGTTCAAGCACCGCCTATGTTTAACTTCCACGCATACTAAGTACGAAATATAAGAATATATAGGTATTTAAAATACGGAGGCTAAACCATAAGCATTTGCGTGAAGTGAGGCGGTGAGCACCTACCTCCTTTGCACTAACCCTATGTTTATATGCTATGGCGCTGGTGCGATGTCGTTTTGTCAAGGTACTACTGTAGTGGTGTTTGTCGTTTTATCATTTATTAAATTTATCACGTTGATCTACGGGGTCAAAAATTTTGGGTATGTAGATTTATGTAGTCAAAGCAGACGAAGACGGGTCTCCGTGGGCTCCATATCGTGCAAAAGAACCTGAAGACTTCGCTGTGAGACTCGTACGCCGAAAACACACGACTCAAATGACTGCAGATACGACTGACGAGTATTGGTAGACCGGTCTGATTTTAGGACGCTAAATTTTTATATGTGGGTTCCTCACCAGGAAATATACAACCAGATCCACCTTTGGCATGTCAGCACTGTGGAGTACAGCATTAGGACTGAAAATGCCCGTCTAAAAACGAGAAATGCAACTAGTATATACAACAAGATTAAGCAACTAAGTTTTCCAGCACAGTGTTCAATCTTTAGCTAAAATAGTATTTTAATCGCAAGCAGTTTCTGCTCTTAAAAAATTATGGAAGTAGGCTCAAGTAAGCAGTCAATACCGTACGGGCTTGACCAAATACGACCGGGTTTGTGCGGTCGCTCAGGTAATTACCCTGATGATCATTGATTACAATGAACACATTAGCCTTTAATCTGCGAGTTAACTACGTCTTTTATATCAGCATTATTTAAAAGTTAATTGTCTACTACCCAGAACTAAAAAGCTCTAGTTAGAAGTAACCAAGAGAGTACCTAATCGCCGCTTAGACTTGGTTTGCGTGCAAGTTTAACTTATATGGTAAAGCACATTAAATTCAATGTCAGGTTGCTTTCAATTCGTTACCTGGGTAGATTGAAAAACCGGAAAAACTCACTTCAATAGTACGCTTTGTCTTCTTAATTCGTGGCTCCTGTAATCGCCGGCAAAAAACGATTGGGAGCAATTCGTCTCTGCGCAAATATTTCCACAGGATATAAGTTGACCCTGACGAGGCATCACCGTTCACTATCGATTACGGAGAAGATATGGACGAAACTTGTACAGAACGGTTCTTTTTGAAAAGTGACTTAAATGAGGCGTATCTACAAGTCAACGTTGATAAGGTCTCACGACAGCTACTGACATGCAACGTCTCGGAGGTCCCATTAATATAAATTGTTTGTCTGCTCCAAATGGTCCCATATAACTTCATTGGTCGCGGGACTGCCAGGCACCTCTATGCCTAAATAACGAGCCAGTGACCAGCGGTAGTCGCGTTGAACAACAACGAGTGAGTACTTTGCTTTATTCGAACAGATCGCCGAGTATGAATTCTGGAAAAGTGTACGTTTGTAGAGCAAAAAGTAGCTTATTTTACGACGAGAACTCTATCCGCACTTATCACTCTAACAGAGTGATCGTTGACGTGCGGTGCCTGAGAATTCAGAGGTTACATGCATGCCTGGGCCTACCTAACTGCTACAACGTGTCTATCGCGTTCAAGCGCAAGCTGCAGGAACCGACTTCCAAAAAAATAACGCTCTTTCAATAATGGACAGACTGCAAGAAAGTGCTCGGCGAAAACAAATACATTTTAACATCCAAGGCATTGCCTGTTTACTATGATCCGTTCACTGAGAATACAAGGTACCCCACTATGCCGTTCTTTCACTACTTGCACCCCAACGGTTTTAGAAAACATTCAGTGCATAAGCTGTTCGCTTAGCACCTCAAAGAAGTCTGATCGAAAAATGGAAGGAAGGGCTCGGCCCAAATCGTCGCTGAGTAAAAGTTTTATAGGTACATATTGGCAAGCGATTTATTCACGTGCTACTGCCAATCTCAAACACATCTTGGAACTACGCCACGGTTCAGGTAAGCAATCAATGTAATATGGGAAGTGGCAGCCCGACGACGGTTAGGCGCAACAAAAATTTTATGTTGGTAAATTAATGACATTAAAACGTCGGGAACATCCATACTACTTCTCTTAGGTACTTCCGGAAGATGTTTGTGGCGTGTATATATTATATAAAGCTGCAGGAATGTATTAATAATAAAAGCTATTTAAACAACTACTTACAGTTATTCAAATGTAAGTCAATAAAACCATATGATAATAAACTTCTCGGTAAACTCTAGTGTAGATATTGACATTAATAAACTAAGTTTTAGTCTCACTAGTTTACGAACTTTTGACCCCATTTTGCCACATTAATTTACGCAATACCTTTCTTGTTTTTGGCGAGGTAAAACATTTGATGGATTTTTCTAAAATGGTGTGTCGAATAGCAGATGCATTAGCTGGCTTCGTATTATCTTGTGAAGGCCGAACACCAACTTTAGGAATGTCGTAACATATTCATATAAGAAGTGTGTGTTCGAGAGGACTTAAGTGAAGATGGCGAAATCTATTTTAAAGGGACGAGGCACTTGCACGCTATAATCGTGATGCAGGAGCATACTTTGATAAGAATCTATGTGAAAGAGTAGACTCATTACCAATCTAAAAATGTTAATCATATGTAAACCAATTCTGAAATAGTTAGTGCGTGATTTCTTATATACATATATATCTAGGCTGCAAAATTCACTAATTAACTGTTGTGTGCGAATTGAGATAATATATTCAATATGTAGCAGAAATTATTTTCTTACGCCATGCGAAGCAAAAAAAATCAAGTTCTTTTAATTTCGTAGTTTTACACTGGTCAAGGCAACTATTGGTTCAAATTTGTTTTCAAAACCGACACCAAACTTACCTCTCATTTGCAGGATTTTTCCTAAACCTATTCGTAGCAATACCACAGTATAGCAGAGCATGCATGGTATATACTACTAGCAGAGTAGGAATAAATGAATAACACACGTTATATATATGGCACACTAGCGAACTAAGTCCACATACCAATAGGTAATGCACAGCGATTGATCACACGGAAAGAGGAAAATAACGAAAACTAATCAGTCAGAAAGAAATATGAAAAGCACAAAAGAGAAAAAAGCCAGAAAGATAACTAGCAGTCATAATAAGTAAATGGTCGTCTTTTTTTTGAGTAGCGTAAATAGTCTGCTTTTAAAACATTAATGATTTGAGTCTCCAGTCTACCTTAATCAGTAAAAATATTTATAGCAATATTTATCGATATTTATTGTGCGAATTATATTAGATGAAATATTTTTTAGCAATGTCTACTCTATTTTTTTATATAGCAAGTATACCAAAGTGCCGTAATTTAGTCGCGTGCAGTCGTCTTTTATCTACTGTTGCAAAGAAAAGCAACATCTACTTTTATGGCACTTCTAGGAAAACCGCGCAGGGCAAGATTTTGGCCTAGTGCTGGCCATTGGATCCAAAAAGGTCATGTTACCTCTTAAGTGCGGTGAATCACGACAAATGGCTATCAAGCACTACCTTCACATAAAGAGTGTAGCAGAAGTAATTTGCATATGTGCAGTATTGTTTCTAAGCGTTCAGAGGGGCTTGGGGGATCTAGAACGACGAATGACGGGAAATTTTGATTGGTAAAATACCTTTCCAAGAGAGAATTGAGGGAGCGATCGACTATCCTGTGCAGTGCGTGCCAAGCGTAATTCATTTCATCAGCTCCTCCGAACACTGCCGAGTTGGGCTCACACTGCTTATGGAAAATTTTACTGTCGAGCGTATTTCCCATCATAGCAAAGCACAGG